CTACAGACTGTGTGGCTTAAATAACAAGCATTTATTTTTCAGAGTTCTGGAGGCTGGGGGAAAGTCCAAGATCAAGGTACTGGTAGATCCACTGTCTGGGGAGGGCCTGCTTCCTGGCTTGCAGATGGCTGTCTTTTCATTGTAACCTCACATGGCAGAGAGCAGAAAGAAGCAAGCTCTTTTCTACTGTCTCTTCTTATAAGGCCACTAACCCTTAAGGGCACTAACCCAAGAGGCCACCACTCTCATGACTCAAATCCCCATTTGTCAAATAATCTACACTTTCTCCACTGGTCAATGCATTCCTATATAACTTGTGTCTGTTTGGGGGCTTTCTATTCTGTTTCATGGTATCAGGGATCACAAACTGGGACCATGCAAGCCCAATCAGGTCTCCAGATGTGTGTTTTGTCTTGCTTTGGTTTTGGCCAGGGGTATTTTCCGACATTGTGAATTTTAATGCCTTTGGGCAGTTCACAGAGCCAGGCCTGTCCAGACCAAGTTACTTGCTCAAGCCCATGGGGCACTTGAGTTTTTTATACCTGGAGTCACACTGGGAACATATTGTTTTAACATTTTCATCTTTAGAACACATTTTAGTATCTAGCTCAGGACATTTCCTCTCATTCTTCTTTTTCAATATTTCCTTAAGTACCCTAATTCTCCAAATGAATTTTTGCATTATTTTGTCAGCTTCTGGGGAAGTGGAAATCTCTCTAGGATTTTGATTGCAATCACATTAAATTCCTAAATTTATTTGGATAGAATTTATAACTTTATAATTTTTGAGTCATCATTCAGAAATTTTGTAAGTCTCTATTCTTCTTTTATATCCCTCAGTTAAAAATTTTGAGTTTTCTTTTTTAAAGTCCTGTATATTTCTTGGTAAATTTATTTCTAACAATTTTCTTTTGTTGCTGCCAATACAATTTCATATCTTTTTCTATTATTTTTTCAAAATTAAAAAAGTAACATATAGTCATGTTAAAAAATATAGGAATATAGCCGGGCGCGGTGGCTCACGCCCGTAATCCTAGCACTCTGGGAGGCTGAGGCGGGCGGATTGCTCGAGGTCAGGAGTTCGAAACCAGCCTGAGCAAGAGCAAGACCCCGTCTCTACTATAAATAGAAAAAAATTAATTGGCCAACTAATATATATATAAAAAAAAAAATTAGCCGGGCATGGTGGCGCATGCCTGTAGTCCCAGCTACTCGGGAGGCTGAGGCAGTAGGATCGCTTGAGCCCAGGAGTTTGAGGTTGCTGTGAGCTAGGCTGATGCCACGGCACTCACTCTAGCCTGGGCAACAAAGCGAGACTCTGTCTCAATAAAAAAAAATATATATATATATAGGAATATAAAGAGAAAAAGTGAAAGAACCATTCAAAACAACCTCCCTCACCCCACACCCTTCCTGTCCTCAGAGGTATGGTAAGATCCTTCTAGAGCTTTTTCTATGCTTAACCACACTAACTAGACTAACTAGATTGTACTATACTTATCACTCTCAATCTTGCTTTTGTCACTTAACAATTTATCATCGATATCTCTTCATGTCCATGCATGTAAATGAGTCTCATTCTTCTTATAAATTGCATAGTATTACATTAAATTCTAATCATTTTTCATTACTTAATCGTTCTCTTGGATTTTCACAGTACATCATCACAGCATCTGCCATTATGTAAAAAAAGAAAAACTTAATTTCCTTGTCTTTTTGCAACAGCTAGAGCATCTAAAATAATGTTAAGTGATTGTAGTGACAGCAGAAAGCTAACTTTAACATGAATATCGTTAGTATAAATGTTAATGTTGTCTGTCAGATTCAGATATTTTTCTCATATTAATAAAGTGCCTTTGTACACTAACAGTTCGGTTTTTGTAAAAATCAGGATGGATGTTAAATTTTTTTTTTTTTTTTTTTTGAGACAGAGTCTCACTTTGTTGCCCAGGCTAGAGTGAGTGCCATGGCGTCAGCCTGGCTCACAGCAACCTCAATCTCCGGGGCTCAGCGATCCTACTGCCTCAGCCTCCCGAGTAGCTGGGACTACAGGCATGCGCCACCATGCCTGGCTAATTTTTTGTATATATATTTTTAGTTGGTCAATTAATTTATTTCTATTTTTGGTAGAGACGGGGTCTCGCTCAGGCTGGTTTCGAACTCCTGACCTTGAGCAATCCACCCGCCTCGGCCTCCCAAAGTGCTAGGATTACAGGCGTGAGCCACCACGCCCGGCCGGATGTTAAATTTTTCAGTGCCATGTTGGCATCTATCACAATGATGCTAAATCTTTCATCATAAGATATATTAATAGAATTAATTTCTTTAATAGATTTTCCAGTATTAAGCCATTTTGTACTTACAGTCCTGGTAAATTATCCTTTTAACATTGCCCTAAATTAAATTTGATGTTTCCCCTAAGATGGTGATTGGCTTGTTTTCTTTCTTTTTTTTTTTTCCTTTGTCTACAATTCATTTCTTTACTGAGTACTGCCTTCAGCTTACTTCCAAACATTCTTTTAATTCTCAAAAGGAGTACAATACACCACAAGCTGGTTTGATGCTCATCAAAATAGCTTCTTCTTCCTGGGAACACAGCTAAGCCATATTTCTAGCTCTTTGTAACGTAAATAGCCATGTGACCAGTTCCCAACAGAGATCAATGAATGGAAGTGGTGATGACTTCGTTAAGAGCAGAAGGGGCTTTTTTGTATGTTTTCTCTCTTTCCCCTTCCACAGTGACCTTGGAGGTCAGGGGGGAATATGTTAGAGATGCAAGATGAAAGGGGCTTAAATCCCTGATCACTGCTTGAAAGAGATCTCCCACGAGAGCTGCTCCACTAGGAAAATCCACACCAGACCTTGTTAAGCCTTGAGGCTGTTTGTTACAGCAACTAACATTAATATGTTTGACCATTAAAGGAGTTTTCCATAACATCCATTTTGAAATATATCTAACACAATTTACCTGCATGATTCCACTGATATGGAACCTAAGACATATATGAGATGGAATATGATACAGACAAAAACTGGTTTTCTCACACCCAATACTCTCAATATTTAGCAAACTTCCCTCTTTTTTGTATCTATCACTATGCTGGTCTGTATGCCAGGATAATATTTTTTTAGATATTAACCTATACTTTTTTTCTCCTGATATCCACCCCTCCCCCCCCCAACACACACACACACACACTTTTAAGCAGATAACTGTCTCCAAGGGAGGACAGGACAGAAAAATAAACTATGTCTTTTGGCTCATTGAGAGACTTTGGCTCAAAGGCAAATATCAAGATAGAAAAGGGCAGGGGTGGGTGGGGTAGGTGAGAGGGGTGGTTTTAAAAGCAAGCAGGGCTCACCCAGAGAGGGAAGAGGAGGGGATTTGAGGAAAGCACAGATTTCTGTGAATCTGAGCCAGCCCTGCATCTTGTTCCCTAGCCACTAGGAGAGCAGTGGGACCACAGAGAAGGACGGTGGTGGGCGAGGGATCACGTTCCTCACGACTCTCACGCTAGGCACCAGGTGAAGCAGCAGAAAGAGCTTTCAGAAAGGAGGGGCCAGGCGGCCAGGAGAAGGGGATATCTTAGCTGCTACAGCTACCTGTAGGGACCAACCTGGCCCTGGCCCACCTGATTCCACAGACCGTCAAGGATATGCCTTATATACCGTGGTAAACAGGTGATTCCAGAAACGGATGTCCTCCTCTTCAAGGGCTGGCATTACACAGCCCCCCCCAAACTGAGCTACAACGTCAGGGGAAAGGGAGGAAACCCCAAAATTGCCTGTGCCTGGCGCTCAGGATAAACAAGGAGAGAAATATACTCTTTGAGGAGCTTAGAGTCGTTATTGGTCTGCTTATTGTCGCCCTGCTGGGGCTGTTTCTCCACGGCGCTCGGGTGCCTTTAACCCCCTAAACCCTAATCTCTGGTTTAGGGGGTTAGGGTGGGTGGGGTGTTCTGAGTGGGGTGGGGGCTGTCCTGCTGCCCCTGCTGAGCCCTCCCGGCTGGCTGGAAGCGACACGCGTGTGTCGCGGCGGGCTCCGAGGGCTTGGACAGAGAGCGGGGGTTGGGGGGCGGGGGCGACAGCGCCCCCGACCACGTCTCCCGGTCTGGGGCTGGGATTTAGGGCAGGGATTGGGGGTGCGCGGTGGGCAGCCAGAAGGGGGCGCCAGACAACCAGCCATGTTGGGGGTGGGCTTGCGGGGCTGGGGACACCGCCGGGCCCCAGACCCCGACCCTACACCGGCCCGCCCGGGCTTCCGCTCCCCGGCAGAGAGGGAAGCCCCGCGGGGAGCGAGCTCGAGGACACCGCCAGGGCCCAGCCCCGAGCGCAGGGGACCCAGGGCGTCCGCCTCCCACCGCGTCGCGAACGCAGAGGTCGGCCCTGGGCCAAATGAGTGTATGCTCGTGCCCTGACGGGCCGGGGAAGGCCGCCATCATAAAGCAAACGTTTTCGATAGAGGACGGTTCTGTTGCCGTGTTTTGGCATTTCTTCCTGTTGAATTTTCCGCGAGCCTCAAACACTGGCCGTGGCCCCGAGTCGCTTACAGTCGAGGGCCTTGCCGGGGCCTCCGCTTGTGCCCTCCCCACACGCGCCCCACAAGGCCCCGCCGTCCGCCCCACCATCTTCCCGCAGCCGGGCGCCCCTGCGCCTCCCTCCTGCGCTCCGGGGCCGTGGTCCGAGGCCCAGCCCCTTCCTCACCCTCACTCACACCCGAATCGAATCTCGGGAGAGAGGCCCCTGGAGCCCTCTAGAGAACGAGGCCGCCCCTCTGCCAAATGTCCCTTCTCAGCCACCCACACGCAGGCCCTGTCCCCAGGCCCTGGCTCCGTGGCAACCAGCCTGGTGACCTCTTCCCAGAGTTCTTGAGGAGTAGGGGCTGGAGCCAAGAGCAGGGACCCCGGCAAGAGTGGGGTCAACGGGGACGGGGGTCAAAGGGCAATGCCTGGGTTCCATGTGTGGTCCACAGAAGCAGACAACCCGTTGCTAGGTAACCACATCTCCCATCACCACCCAACATATCATCCTGGGCTGCTGATCCCCAGGTTCCAGCCATTTTTCTGTTTAGTCTCCTAAACGCCCACTCTCTGTGGGACCCTGAAAGCAGGAGGAGGGGAGAAGCAAGAGCCCCACCACCCTTGAGTCATCTGTGGCTCTGTCACCCACTGTTTCACTGTGAAGAGTCAGCTGCCTAGGCAGATAGGTCACTGCCACCATGAGTCTGGGCATCATGGAAGAGGAAGACCTGGCCGAGTACTTCCGGATGCAGTATGGAGAGCGGTTGATGCAACTGCTGCAGTGAGTGTCTGAGGGCCTGGCCTGCCCCACCCCTCTGTGCCTGGGACCACCCACACCCCACCTTCCGACCTCTCCCTCCTCTCCTTTGACCCAGCACTCCAAACAATCCTGCCTGAATCATTCTGGCATGGGTCACCCCATCACCCCCGTCCCATGCCTTGTCACCCTACCCCAGTTCACTCCTGTAATACCAGAGTGGCCCTGTCTCCTTCTCAGCACACCATTCCTTCCCCTGAAGTCAGGGAGAGCACCCCTTTCCCTCTCCATGGGTCTCTGTCCCCACGGGTTACTCCCAGCCCCAGCCTGCCCCAGGTCTCAAATCCTGAGGCCTCTCTTGCCCGTGTCTTGGGCAGGAAGTTCCCCAGTGTTCAGGAACAGTCGGATTCTCCATCGATCCGTCTTCTGGAGAAGAAAAAGGAGGCCAAGATCATGCATCATGCTATGGAGAAGAAGAAGGAGGTGGAGGACTTGGGGATGGGATATGGGAAGGGAGGGGTGGGCTGGGGCTCAGCGAGAGCCTAAGGACAGCCCTCCATTGTGTGGGTGGAGGTGGCTAGAACCAGGAATCCTAGATGGTCTGGTCTCTTTTCTCTGTGCACAATAGAAAAGATCTGAGTCTTGGGGCTCCCCGTGTCCTGGGATGCTCTGCTCCGTGCGGGGCGTGGGGTGGAAAGTGGCAGGCCTCCTGTGGACCCTCCTAGGCCTGGAGATAGAGCCTGCTGGGGTGCTCCTTGGTACTCAGGTCAGGGGCCCTCCTGACCTCTCTGCTTTCTCACCTCTGCCCCAAAGACATTTCAGCGCAGAATGGAAACCCTGAACTTGCGCTGGGAGGAACTGAGTGTCAAGGAAGCCCAACTGAAGGCCCACATCCAGAAGTTTGAGCAGTTCATCCAGGTGTGAGGGGGCGTGGACCGCTACACAGGCCAGGGGAGCCATACTCTGCAGTCGGGCAAATTGTTCCTCATCGCTTTTGCTGACTCCTCTCCCTGGGTTAAAAGTGTCCTGAGTGCTCCAACAATGCCTGGTGCTTCCCCAGGCATCTGTTATGTCCCCCACCTATTGCTCTGTTTGTAATTTCCTGTTTACCTGTCAGTCTCTGCCCCTGTAGGTGGCTGTTTCCTATGTCCTTGCCGATCCCTGGGGCATACAGTTTATCCAGTGGATGGATGGATGGATGGATGGATGTGCCATGTCAGGGCTGAGCAATAGGGGACACAACAATGAACGAGATGGGTTTTATTCCCCCCACGCACCCTCACCCCTGTCTCCTGTTCTGTGCTGAAGGTTCAGGCAGGGAACAGTTGAAGGACCAGAGTCCATTACAAGACAACTTCCCTCACTAGGTCCTTAGAGGAACAATTTAATCATCTTAAAATCCAGATTTATCCAGTCCCACTCCTGCGAGCATTTATGGAACCCTGAAGGGCGTGGCCCAGCTCTGGTGGGGAGGGTGTAATTATTGTCCTCTGCTACAGAGAAGCCTGGCTGCTAAGCATCTTCTGCCCCACTCTGTGCCTAAACCATGTGGGAAGGGACTGGGCATGTTCTCGAGGGGTTCAGTTCTTCTCACCAGCCAGAGAAACACTCATGGAATGGCTGGGATGGCGGGAGATTTGGGGGGAAGGGGTTCTCCAAACGATCAGAGGGTCAGCAGCTTCAGAATCTCAGAATGATTGTTACAAATACAGACCCTGGGAACTTTCTCCCCTCTCCTTGCTTTCAGCAGCTCTGGAGTTGGGCCCATGCATCTAGATTTTTTTAAAGCATCCCAGGGGCTTCTGATGCAAAAGTAGACTTGAAAGCTCCTGGGTTAGGGCCCCTCAGTCTTCTTCTGGGCCTATGGGGCAGGGTACAAATCTCCCATGTCCTTCCTTCTGCCACCACCACACATGCCCACTCATGTGGAATCACGGGAGCCTCTGAAGGGAAGAAGGAGCCACACAGTGCAGGTGCAATGCGAGGGGTGGGCTTGCCCCTCATCTAGGGGGAGGGCTTTGCAGAAGGAAGAAGGTGGGGTTGGACCAATTGCAGTAGCTGAGCCTCTATCTGTCTCTCTGGGCATCAAACTGCCTGCACCATCTCCTGCAGCCCTGGCCGGATGCCAGTCTGAGCTCCTAGGAACATGCTCTCCAGAATGGTCTTACCCTGCCAGGCCCTCTGCACCAGGAATATCTCCTATCTCATCTCCCTATAGCTAGAGCGCTGTTGCCCCAGCTTGGGAAGAGAGAGGCTACTGCCTCCCATTTCTACTGTTGGAGAAATTGAAGCACCAAGTACCAAATCGGGAGAAAATTTGGGCTTCCCAACTCAGGCCCAGGAATCAGCCCCATGACAAATGGACACCGCTAAGAATAGAAACAATAGACGCTTTGTCAGAAGGGTTCCTGCTCCCACTTCTGGACTTTCTCAGCCTTCCCTGGGGTTGAGTTCTCTCTGGACACTAAGCCTGATGCCACATGGTTCTCCCCCATCCCTTTTTTCTCCTGGTTCTCCCTAGTCTGCTCTCTGAAGTCCAGAGCCCAAATCCCACAGCGTCAGAATCATTTCCCATCGGCTCCCCCAAAGCTCCCTCTTGACTTTGGATTAAACCTCCATCCTCACCATTTCCTGTGCCCCACCTCAGTCCTCAGAGATCCCCTCCACCAGCTTCAAACCCTGGAGGTCCTTTTCGTTCATCCCTCCTCTCCCACATGGGTGGCCCAGCAACCTCTGCCCGTCCTAAGGGTGGTCTGAGCTCAGCGTGCAGTGGGGACTGAAGACACCCCTGGCTCTGGGAGGGCAGGGCACAGCTCCCTGACCAGTGCTGCCTCCCCTGGCCCCAGGAGAACGACCAGAAACGGATCCGAGCCCTGAAGAAAGCCAACAAGGAGCGGGAGCTCAAGAGGCAGCGCATTCGGGAGCTGGTCAAGGCCAAGCAGGATATGGTGGCCCTGCGGCTGGAGCACCAGCGGCTGAGTGCCAAGCTGCAGAACTACTCCATCTTCAACAAGTACCTGGAGAAGGTGGTGGAGAACTCCGAGGTGAGTCGAGGAGTTGGGGGCAGGTGCTGGCACCTCCTCTTCCCTGGGGCCCTGGGGCTGTGGGGTGGAGTTCAGCCTCAGCTGGCCAGGGACTGGGGACGCTCTGGGCCCCCAGGGGCTCTGCAGGATGGTCACCCTGCTCTGAAGCAATGCAGCCAGCCCTGGAGGGTGGCTAGAAAAAGCCCTTGGTGAGGCAGGACGTGTTTCTCAAGGGACCTTGTGGTGTATCTATGCGTGTCTGTGTAAATGTCTTGCGTGAGTTGTGTGCTTATGTCTACGTGGTGGCCGTGGCTGTGTCTGTGTAAAGCTTGGGTGTGCATGTGCATGCGTACTGGGGGAACCAGGTTTTGGAGAACCTGCGGGAAGCTTTGCCGGCATCCGCATCTATCCCTGCTTCCCCTCCTCTCTGGTGTCCCCTGTTCACTGGAGAGTCAGCTGAGGAGAGGAAGGGACAAGAACTGGGAAACATCCACCTGCTGGAGTGCTTAGCACACGCTGGGCACCGGGCTTAGTGCTCTACACGCGTTTCTCCAGCCCCAAGAGGAAATCAACCTTATTACCATGTCACAGAGAGGAAATAGAGGCACGGAGAGGTGAAGTCACCTGCTCAGGGTCTGACAGCTTGTAAGTGGCAGAGCCCATGCTTTTAACCACCCCTCAGTGGGCCCCACAATGCCCCTGGCAGCCGCTCTCCCTAAAGTCCTGCGGCCAGAGCTCAGGGAACTTCTCAGCCTCTTTCTGCTGCGCCTCTTGCAGCATTTGGCACTCTTGAAGCTCCTCCCTAAAACTTCACTTTGCCCTTGAGGTTTTGGGCACCTTCTGTGGCACCTTCCTCTCCTCCTGCCTCTGGCCTCTCCTTCTCAGGCTCCTGTTGGAGCTTCTCTTCCCAGGTCCTTCCTCACATATTCTGGGGCCTTTGTCCCAGACCCTCCACTTTTCTCCCTGAGCAGTTCCTGGGGCCTCCCACAGATAGCAGCCATGTCAGTGATTATCCCCCACCATGTGACCAGCGGCAGGGAGGGCTCCTCGTGTGGTGGAGCCAGGTCCCCCCAAGGGGCGTGGATCCATGTCCTGGAAGGGGATTGGGGAGACAGAAGTCTCACAACTTTTTTTAAAAAGTTCACAATTTCCATATAGAACCTAATTTATTAGGTTGTTAAATATGAAATGTCCGATTTTGAATCAAAAGTTTAGTTTAGGCCGGGCGCGGTGACTCGTGCCTGTAATCCTAGCACTCTGAGAGGCCGAGGTGGGAGGATCATTCAAGGTCAGGAGTTCAAAACCAGCCTGAGCAAGAGTGAGATCCCATCTCTACTAAAAATAGAAAGAAATTAATTGGACAACTAAAAATATACAGAAAAAATTAGCCGGGCATGATGGCACATGCCTGTAGTCCCAGCTACTCAGGAGGCTGAGGCAGGAGGATTGCTTGAGCCCAGGAGTTAGAGGTTGCTGTGAGCTAGACTGATGCCACAGCACTCTAGCCCAGGCAACAGAGTGAGACTCTGTCTCCAAAAAAAAAAAATAAAAAAAGTTTAGTTTATTATATCTCAAACAAGAAGCAGTATGCTTAATCCAAGTGTGCGCCTAAACTATGAACACAGCGTTCCCATCTTGACAGTAGCATGTTTATGCCAGCAGCAAAGAATCCTGGAGAGACAATGGCAATGAAATCTCAAAGGCTTGTTTTCCACAGCTTGTTGAGAATTGAATATTTTTCCTTGCAAGAAGTGTTCCAAAGCCCAGAAGACATGGTAGTCAGTTGGTGCAAGGTCTGGTGAATATGGTGGATGACAAGAGTTTCCAAGTCCAGCCTCTGTAGTTGGAGCAGCATTGTTTATGAAACATATGGTCGAGTGTGGTCTTGCAAAAGGATTGGCCTGTCTCTATTGACCAATCTCAGCTTCTTTATTGCAAGCATCCTCATCATTTTGTCCAATTGGTTGCAGTAGACATCCACTGCAATTGATTAACCAGGTTTCATGAAGCTGCAGTGGATAATACCAGCGCCAGACCACCAAACAGACACCATTAACTTTCTATGAGGAATATTCAGTTTGGGATGTGTTTTGGCACTTCATCTTTATCCAACCATTGTGCTGAACACTTGTGATTGTCAAAAGGAATCCATTTTTCATCACACGTAGCAATACAGTGTAGAAATGTGTTCACCTTTTTGTTAGCAAAGAAAAGCAAGGTTCGAGACAATTTCTCTTCTGACGCTAGTTTAATTCATGCAGAACCCATCTATTCAGCTTCTTTACCTTGCCGATTTGTTTCAAATGGTCCAATATTATTGGAATGGTAACGCCAAACTTTGCTGCTAATTTGTTTGTAGGTGGAGATGGATTCGCTTCCACTACAGCTTTCAGCTCATCATTCTCCACCTTGCTCTCAGGTCCCCCATGAGGCTCATTTTCAAGATTAAAATCACCAGAATGGATCTTCTCAAACCATCCATGTACTGTGCATTCATTAGCCACATCCTTCCCAAACACTTCATTGATATTTCGAGCTGTCTGGGCTGCATTAGTTTCATGGCAGAACTCACATTTGAAAATAAGGATTTTTGACTTATCCATGCTTTCACAAAATTTGCTCTTAAAAAAATGTGAAAGATAATCACAAGCCAAAATGTGCATTTGAAAGACGGAGGAGGCACCTTCACAATAAAAGTAAAACAAGAATCGTCACAGTGAAATGTCAGCCATACCAACTGTCACACTTAGTTCTTCAGGGAATCGGACATTTCATACTTAATAACCTAATATTTATGTGTAAGTCCCAAATCTGTGTTATTTCCTCCATTCTAAGGTATCACGTACTGTAGGATAAATTATTCATTTAACTACTGGGAGTTTGGGGTGGGGCAGGGAGTGAGGGAGGACTACCATATTAAAATAGCAGATAAATTGTAAGATATGTCTCAAGTTCAGAGCTGGTAAAATATATGTGTTAGAATTGAGGAAATTGGCCCATATCTTTCTCCTAAGCTTCAGACCCTCATATCTAAGTCATCCCGTCCACACTCATCTCATCTGCTTGCTGCCACCCCCAGGCCAGTCCTGCTGCTGGTGTGCCCTGTGCTGGTGAATGGCATTGCCACCCACCCCCAGCCCCACCAGAGCTCGGGGCCTCATCTCTGACTCCTCCCTCTTGCTCAGTCCTGCAGCTATCAATCAGCAGATACGGTCTGTTCTGCCTCCTGAGTATTTCTGGAATCCAGTCCCTGCCCCTTCCTCACCCACGCCACCAAAGGTACCTCATCTGGAGTTCAACTCCACGGTCATTCCCGGCCAGCCTGTTCAATATTCTACAGCCAGCATGATCTCTCTCTCTGTCTCTCCCTCCCCCTCCCCCTTCTTTCTTCCTTTATTTTGTTTAAATGTTTTAAGCATACTAGAAAGTATAAAGAAACACATGACAGCACCCACATACTTACCACACAGCTTTGTCAAATCTTAATATTTTTCCCTATTTGCCCCAGATTCATTCTTCTGAAATCAAACACTACCAGTAATTGAAACCCCTTGTGTGTCCTTCCAAATCTCCTTCTTCCCCTCTCCTCGGAGCTCACCAATATCCTGCTTTTTAAATTTCTCACTTTCAACTTTATATTTATTCCCTTGTAACATATTACATATCCATAAACTATGAATAGCATGGTACATATCCTTCTGTTACTTGCTTTTTCCAATCAATGATTTTGTTAAAAAAAAAAAACCAACTTTTTATTATAGAAAATTTCAAGCATATACAAAAGTCGAGAAAATAGTCTATTGAACACCCATGACTCATCACCTAACTCCAGCAATCATCACTTCATTGTCCTGTCCCCTGCACTTTCTCACCTCTGCCATTTTGAAGCAAATGATGTATTTTCATCCATATGCAGCTCTTTAGCATGTGTCTCTACAAGAGAGAGCTCTTTTTAACATACAGTACTACCATTGTCACACCTGATAAAAATGTGATAATAATTCCTTAATATCTAATATCAGTATCAAGTATCGTACAAATGTTTTTTGGACAGTTGGTTTGGTCCACTCAGGGTCCATACAAGGTCCTCACACTGCGTTTGGCTGGTATGTTCCTTAATGTCACAAACACTGGGCTGAGGGAAAGAAGCCAGACACGAAGGAGGATATGCTGTATGCTTCCACTGATAACGTGTGAAAACAGCAAAAATTAATCTTTGATGATAGAGGTCAGAATACTATAATAGTTTCCTCAGTGTTGGGGGCAGGTTCTAATTATCAACCCTTCTTCATTTATTAGCTAGATACTATCATAAAGGAAAGGATTTCATAAAGAGACTCTTTCCTTTACCAACTGTTTGATTATTATGTGGGTCTTAGAGAAAAAACTTGTTAAACACCTGATATTTTATTTGTAGTTTTCAGAACAATGACTCTGTTCTCCAGCATCCTCTGAAAATGACCTGTGATGTTTTTAGTATCATTATAAATTCATGGAGTTGTAACACATTTGATATGTTTCAATCCTCTACATTTATTCTTACTAATGTTCCAATTGTCTCACCACTGGGCAGTGGGAATCTCGTCGAGTTGGCATGAGTCCTTTTGACACCAGCATTGCGTTTTAGAGATGCATTCTTGGTTGCACTGATGTGGTTCATTCATTTTAACTGCTGTGTGCTGTTACATTGTCTGCCAAGTGAACTTTTGGAAATGCAGACATAAATTATCTTTCTGTTGCTTAAAATCCTTCAGTGGATTCACACTCCTTCCTAAGGTTTACTGAGCACTTTTTTGTCTTCCTCTTCTTCAGGTCAATGTCTCCCTCCCCATCTTGAATGCAGGCCACTCATGCTAAACTACCTTGAGTATCTTGAACATGCTACACTTCCCCCACCATTCATCTCTATCCAGGCTGTGCCCTCCACCTGTAGCACTGCCTCGCCTCCCCCCACCTGCTTTTGCCTGGCTGTCCTCTATTCATACCTGCAGCCTCATTTCAGCCACCCTTTCTCCCAGGAAACCTTTTCTGGTTGCTCCCATCTCTCCCAGCATTGGGTTGGGTGGCCCTTCCCCAAAGAGGCATATTTGGGGAAAGTCCAACAGGGCAGTTCCCAGGACATCAGTCCATCACTGGAAATATCATGAGATAGAGAAAGTGCTCAGGGACTGTCCCCTGGATGGCTGGAAGGCACACTGTCATAAGCCCTTGGGAAGGTGAGCTGGCATCCCAGAACAGGCACACGCTCACACCGCCGCCTTGTCAAGAGGGGTGACTGTGGGCTTCTGTTCCCTTGAGTGGGGCCTGCGGGCTGGGGCCAGAGTGGCACGGTGCCGGATCATGCAAGAGGAGGTACGCTGAGCCTGGCAGGCCACTTGCCTCACTGGTACCCTCTCCAAGCCCTGCTTCTCCCTCAGCAAATGTTGAACGAGTAGCAGAGAGTACCATGCTTGAAGGCAGAACCCAGCAGTGTCCGCCCCGCCCCACCCCTCAGCCGAACACAGGCTTAGCACTCTGTGCTGTGACTGTTTGCTTGTCCGTGCTGCCCAAGCTGTAGGCTTCCTAAGAAAGCCTGGTTTTCTTATCTCCTGCCTCTAGCATTTAGCATAGCTCCTGGCCTGGCTTGTAAGTAGTTCTTTGTACATTCTTGTTGAATAGAAAATTTATTGCATTGAGAAACATCTCAAATGTCCTCCTCCAGCCATTCTAAACTCTGGGGCTCTGCCTAGAAAAACCTGGAGGACCTTTTGCAAAAATTGGGTGTCAGGGGCCACCTCAGTCCTGCTCATTAATCTGAATCTGAATCTCTGGGGGTGGAGCCTGGAAGACTGCTTTCCAAGGACCGCCCCAACATTCTAACATGTAACTAAGACTGAGAATCCGTGGTCCAGTTGTGCACCCTCCCAACACATGGCCATGGTCCATGCAAGCCCAGGAGAAGCGGGTGGTGGGACCCCGATATCCTCACAGCCTCAGCCAGTAAGCTTGGGCCAGGCAGGGCCTGCCTGTCCTGGTGTCCTGGTGTCCAAGCGTCCAAGCAGGGGGTGGGCGGGCCCTGGGGACTGGCGGTGCAGTGACCAGAGCCCCGGCCGCAGTTCGAGGAGATCCACGAGGTGATCGCGCGCTACAAGACGCTGGTGAGCATGCACCACGACCTCATGCAGTCGGCTCAGGAGGGCCAGGAGAAGATCGAGCGCGCCAAGGCGCGGCTGGCCCGCTACATGGAGGAGAAGGACGATGAGATCCTGCAGCACAACAACGAGCTGGCTCGGCTGCAGATGCGCTTTGACCGCGCCCGCAGCGATGTCATCATCTGGGTGAGGGGGCTGGGGCGGAGCAGGGGCCTGGGGGCGTTGGGTGAAGGCCGCCTACACTCGCCCCCTCCCCCCACACACACACACACAAGCCATGCTCCTGCCCGCCCTCATCCGCTCTGCAGGAATCTCGCTGGGCGCACATCCAGAACACCGCCGCCAAGAAGACCCTCCTGCTTGGCACCATTAAAATGGCAACGCTGAACCTCTTCCAGATCGTGAGCAAGCAGGTGAAGGAGGCCACCGCCGTGTCGCTGGACGACACGCACACGCAGCTGGACATGGTAGGAGGAAGTGCAGGCGCTGGGACCAGCTGGGTTGGCGGAGCCCAGGCGGTTCCCCAAGTGTAAGAATGAATCAGCAGAGCAGTGGCTCTCAATTTTTAACAGCATCGGAATCTCCTGGGGCATGAGGAGTATTGCTGGGCTACAGCCTGGGAATTTCTGACTCCGTAGGTCTGAGATGAGAACTCACGAATTCACATCTTCAGCGAGTTCCCAGATGATGCTGCTGGTCAGGGTTCCACACTTTGAGAACCACTGCATTATCCCCAAGACACTTGTTGGTCCCAACCCAGTAGGAGGAACCTACTATTGTATCCATTCAAAACAGTCTTATTAGATTCTAGTGAGATACCTTAGCTTGCTGGAGACTTGTGCTTAAGGCCCGCACGTCGTTAAAAGAAAAATTGGCAAGTTTAGAGAAGTGTTAAAGTCACATTAGTACCAATCTGGATGTTCTTTGAAGTAAATGAAAGGAAATTGAAAAGGAAATAACTTTTTCACTGCATGAGTCAAAGTGAGTTAATGCCAACCATGTCCATGTGCCACCTAAAATCATCTCACTGTGGCCAAAGGTATACACATCCTGCATTTTGGGAAACCCTGCACCAACAGATGCACCGAGGGTGCTTCTGATATGCAGAGAACCATGACTGAATAATTATTTGTTCCTGCTGGAAACACCTTTAGCTCTGCTGTGAAATACTAGAAAGTAAACTCCCAAAGACTGGGATTTTTGTTTTATTCCTTGCTATATCCACCCTGTACCTAAAACAATGTCTGTCACATGCTAGTCACTCGATAAGTATTTGGTGAATGAATATGAAACACCAGCCAATAAATGCAATTGACTAAGAGGCACTTTCCCTACTTAAAAAAAAAAAAAAAGAGTGAAACTCATGAAATGTAAAGGATTTCACTCACTGACCAGCCAGGAAGAAGGATTTCCCTAAAACAAATAATCAGCATCTTAAGGCTTGTTATTAGTAGAACAGAATTATAAATATTTTACAGTCCAAAGAAGGGGATTTGTAAGACAGTTTGTTCTGGAAGCAGCAATTCTCAACATTTTGGTATCAGGGTACGTTTATGCTCTTAAAGTGTATTGAGAACCCCTGAAGAGCTTTTCTTTCTATGGGTTGTATTTATTGATATTTACCATATTAGAAATTGAAACAGGAAATTTAAAAATATTTTTTAATTAATTCATTTTAAGATGCCATTAAAAAGCATGTTAACAGAAATAGCATTTTTCATGAAAAAAATTTTCAAAAAATATTTTCAGAGTAGAGGGGCATTAGTCAACACATTTGCATATCTCTTTAATGTCTGGCTTAATAGAGGCCAGGTGCATTCTCATGTCTGCTTCTGCATTCATTCTGTTGTGATAGCATATGTCATGGAAATCCCACTCCGGTAAACACCACTGTGTACTTGTGACAGAGTAAGAGTGAAAAAAGCAAATAATATCTTAGCATTATTGTAAAAAGAATTTTGACCTGGAAGATGTTCCCTCTCCCCCCCCCCACAGTAGGGTCTCAGGGACTCCTAGAGGTCCTCGGGCCCCCTTCCTTTAGCTGTTGTAAAGAAAGTTGTGATGCGTGGTGTGTCCTCCCACCCCTTCCTCCTACCTGTGCACTCCCTGCTCAGACCACAGCTTGCAGTCTGTCCACTCCGAATTTTGACCTTTCTTAATCCCTCAACCTTGGTTTGCCTCTATAGGAGTACTTCATAGTGCCTAAATTTATTTTAAAATATCCTGCTTCATTCTCGTAGAATATGAGCCTACTGACAAAAATACACATGACCAAGTAGCCTGAAAAATTAAAAATAAAGGCCTGGGAAAGTGTAAGTTAAAATCAGAGATTAAGGCCTGTAATCCTAGCACTCTGGGAGGCCGAGGCGGGAGGATCGCTTGAGGTCAGGAGTTTGAAACCAGCCTGAGCAAGAGTGAGACCCCCGTCTGTACTATAAATAGAAAGAAATTAATTGGCCAACTAATATATATAGAAAAAATTAGCCGAGCATGGTGGCACATGGCTTGCAGTCCCCAGCTACTCAGGGAGGCTGAGGCAGCAGGATTGCTTGAGCCCAGAGTTTGAGGTTGCTGTAGCGAGGCTGAGCCATGGCACTCACTCTAGCCCTGGCAACAAAGCGAGACTCTGTTCTCCAAAAAAAAAATCAGAGATTAACACTGGAGAGAGAAAAGACTGTGATCTTAGATGATAAGACCTTCAGTGGAGCAATAATTGCTCTGAGCTCCCGGTAACCAGAATGAAAAGGCACATGTAGTTCTAGCATAATAAGAAAATATAAGGTTTTGCCACAGAGGGAGCATGCTTTTCCAGCACTTTGTTCTAAGTGAAATTTCTCAATGAGGCTTCAGAGACACTCAGTGAATCATGTTCTCAACAACAGATATAAGCACAGGCGTCATAAGGAAGCTGCTTCTACGGAACTAGGGACATGGTAACTTAGAAATGTGACTCTGCAAAAGGCCAAGAAATTTGATTCAAACATACTGTGTCATGGAAAGGTTTGGCATCACCCTGAATAAAGCCAAGACTCTCTGGAACAGCCTTTTCCAAACTGTCTGGCAAATGCTAGAATCTTGAGATGTTGTTTCCTATGAAGGAATAAAAGGACTCCATGGACCAATACATTAGAAAACTCCACTTAAATAAACCTAAAAAATAACAGGAACTTGATAGAATCTTTGCGAGGGTCCTGTGCCCTGGGCTCTCGCAAGATTAGTGTTTCTAGACTTGTACTAGACCACAGAAGTCTTTCTGGGGTACAGACCAATGTCCAGCAACATAAGTTTGGGAAATGCGAACTTGTCTTCCTACTGCAATCGTTGGGAATAGTTGCTTAAATTCTAGACTCTTTGTTTGCTCACTTGCAAAACTAGGAATCACCGCATAATAGTAACAGTATCAGCAGCTTGACAGGGTTGTGGAGCACGTTGAGACAAAGTCTGCTGTCTCCACCTCACAGAGATGGCCTTGAAAAGGAGAGGTTAGAACTGAGTCTTAGAGCCATTAGTGCAAACCTTTTCTGCTCCTTTCCTTTTTAAAAGAGGAAGATAACGTGAGTCCCCGAAAGAAGGATTCGTTCCCAGAGCTGCTCCGGAGCAACAGTAAGCTATACCTACCTAGTGTCACAGTATCTTGGTGTCACACTGATTCGTGCTCTTGAAAACAAAAGCCAGTGAATAGATTTAAACTTCTCTTCGCGACTCAAATAATCACGAGGAGCTTCAGTCAGGGTTCCGGTCATGGCAGCCTTGGCCGGGACCTGCGGAGGCGTCTGCCCCCACGCTGACTGGCCCTGCCTGTCCAAGTCTCACTCCACAGCGCTGGGGTGTGATCCCACCTCTCCCTTCTGTTAGGACTTCAGCCGCACTTCATACTGTCACTGTGTCTGCCTCAGGAGTTCCCAACTCCATTCCCGTTTATTGCTTTTTATCTGCTTACCCTGATCCTCAATTTTCCCTCAGAAAATTGTGAAGTGAGGGAAAGTGGGGTCCTCTCAAAAGCCGGGTTCATCAGGAAAAGCAAAACTCCTTATATTAATACCCCATGGTGCTCACATCTTGGGATGGGTTAGACCTCTGGCTGGGTGGGGTTAACTGTGGTCCCCCTGCCCTTTGTCAGACCAAGCAGTTTATCCAAGACCTGTCAGACATGCTGGACCGGAGGTGAAGAAGGAAGGAACAGCGCAAGTCGGGTTTAGGAAGACACCATGGTTCCAGATGTTCTGAGCAGAGACTGTGAAGGAATCAGTTCCTGGGGGCTTTGCAGTCTGGTCAGCCATCCAGCCACGTGGCCCTGATGCCTTTATCTGCTGGTGAAAGAACACCATGTCATTTTGCTCCTTGGGCTCAGTCCATCCCTGAAGATAATTAAATTTATAGAAGTTTATTCTTAAGTCTCTCTTTTTGGTGATTATTCATGTGGAAAGAGTCAATGAGGGGAGCACCCACACAAGCTTCTGCTCCTCAAGCTGGTCACTCAGCCGTCCAGGAACTAGAAATCACATCTGAAGGTCTGGTTCCTCTGGCTTGGGCTACACATAGCATGGTTTCAGGGGGCAACAGAGACCCCTTTCCTTGCTATCACTCAAGAAAATGTGTGAATATATTTTTAAAAATCTGTATTTCTAATGTGGGTAAAAGACCCAC